CTAATCCCCGTGTCCCTGCGCTCCTCTGGCGCGCCCGCCAGCGAGGCATGGGCCTCCGGACTCCAGGATCCAGCCCCCTGATTTCTTCTCCCCAGGTTTTAATCTGGGCCACGTTGCGCAACTTGTAGGAAGCCCGAATTTTATCTTGCTGTCCTTCAACTGGGCGTTTTGTTTCTTTAACCAAAATGTTAAATTCTAAGTTCACTTTCATTTGCTCGGGTCGTTTTCAGTGGTGTCTCCCGTTGAGGGCTGCGGTCGCAGCTCTGTGTGGTCCACAGAGCCTCTTAATTACCAGCTGCGGCATGCAAGCACTGGTGGTGGGTGCAGACCTTATCAGAACCACACCATGAGACTTCAATGCCCGGCGCGGAGAATAAAGAACTCGCTGCTCCCCGGTGCACGTTCCCGTTGCCTGTGCAGTCAGCCATCGGTGCCGTGCTCTCAAGGCCACGAGCTCCCGTATCCGTGTGGCCGGAGGGTCGTGTGCTTGTGGCCACTGCACACCTGTCCTGTCTCTGTGTTCAGTGGCTTCGTGCTGGGGGCGTGGAGGCACCATCTGCACCCCAGAGACTGGCACATGCTGCAAAGTGGGGCCCCCCTCCTGGCCCCTCGTGGTCCCGGATGTCCAGCACGCCCCTGGGGACACTCCTGCCTCTTCTCTCCGGCCCCAAGTTTGTTGGGTTTTCGCGGGCTGACGTGCTCTCCCCGCGTCTGCCCCTACGGCTCATGTCCCTCAGATGCCGCGCTGTCAGGCTTGAGAAGAGACTGAGGTGAAGCTCTGGGTGCGGGCGCCACGCTGACCAGGGTTTCTGCCATCCCGGCGTCTGGGCTCTTAGCCTGGCTACGCGCCCATCCTGGGACGTCCCAGACCAGTGGTTCTCTGGGGACCTGAGCAGGAAGTCACTGCTGTCGCTGGGCCCTTGCAGACATTTCTGCCAGCAGAGATCGGCTCCACGTTGATATTTGGGGTGGGGGGGGGGGGGGGGGGGGGCAATAAAACATGCCCCTGGGGCTCAAACCTGCAGCCAGAGGAGCCCTGGGCTGTGGACACACTCGCTCGAAACCTCACGCGCACCTCTTGTGGTCGGAAGCACCCCCGTGCTGGTGTGGGTGTGTTTTGTTTTTAACAAACTGGTTTTCTGTGCACTTTTAGATGCACAACGAAAGTGAGCAAGGAGTACGGAGCCACGCACTCAGCCCTCACGCACACAGCCGCCCGTGTCAGCATCCCAGTCGGTGCAGCAGAGGTGCTCTGACCCCACCCGTTATCCCTCCCTCCCCGCTCCTGCCCTGCAGCGCCCGGCCTCCCCGGCACCCTGATCTCGAGCATTCCCAGAAACCCTCACCGAGTGGGAGCTCAGAACACAGGCTGTGGGAGCCGGTGCCCGGGACGGATAGGCCACACGCCAAGAACATCTCGGTAAAGGAGACCGTGCCCTGGGGTTTACACACGTGATCTCAGATGCATTTGGGAACGTTCTGGTTGGTGCTGACAGGTTGCTGATGGGCGGCTCCTGTGTCCAGCTGTGGCCTGGACAGAAAGATGAGGGAATGTGAGATGGGAGGGGATGTAAGAGAGGAGAGCCACAGCCCCCCACCCAGGTTGAACCTGAGGGAGAGGCGGTTCATGTGGGAACGTGGCATGCTCCGATTTACATTAAAACCTTACTGCGGCCACTGCTGCTGTTTCATCAGCGTGCTAGAAGGACATTTAGAATTCTGACCGCTGGTAACAAAAACGTGCAGAACAGTAGTTTAGAGAGATTACTTGCTTACAAGTGCGGTGTGCAGAGGAAAGCAGGTGTGCGGTCTCCAGTATGCTGTGAGGGCCCCCAGTGGATTTTCACTTGACCCTTCTTAGAATGAGAGTCTTCTGTTCATGTTCACAAGGCGGCTGCTGGAGCTCCAGCCATCACATTTGAGCTCCAGGCACCAAACAGAGGAAAAGACTGAAAGCAAAAATGCAAACACTAGCTGAGTCAGCCTTCTCCAGGAGCCTTCCCGGAACTCCTACCCAATAGGGTAATCTTTGGCCAGAACTGCCACCGGGGAAGCTGGGAGATCAGGCTAGCTGGCCGCACTGCTGACCCGGGTACGGTCAGGGCTCTGTTGGTAAGAGTAAAGGGATGCAGATGCTGGGACAGGAAGAGGCGGTGTCTGCCGCAGGCGGCAAGGACGGAAGTGGGGCAAAGGCCTCGGCAGCCGTGCAGAGGCCCGGCTGGGGGTGGGCGGTGCCTCGATTGCGGGGGTGATGGGGGTGGCCCTGGGAGGGGGCAGGGGGGCGTCCGGGGCTCCTGAGCTGCCAGCATCATCCACACAGACCGCTGCTCCCCAGGCCTCGTGGGGTTCCCGCGGGGGTGTTTAGTGCTCGCTGAACGCTGAGACGTAATGGGTGGTGGGGACACGGCACAGAGCCCCCCACCCAGGCCTCACCGCCTCCTGAGGGCAGGAGAGCGTGGTCCCCTCCCCAGCGCCACGCGGAGAGCCGGCTCCGTGGCCTGAGCACTCACGGCTGCCCCCCGCCCTCCCGGTGTGGGCTTCCTGGTGCGTGTGGCGTTTGGAGCCCGTGCCAGCCGGCCGCTGAGCGTCGGGAGCCGCCATCCCTGGGGGTCTCCCGTGGGCACGGCGTGGCTTGCAGACCGCGGCCATCCCTGCAGACAGCTGTGCTGGCACCCGGCCACGCTCCTCCGTTCACACGGCGCCGGGGCTGCTTTTGCCCCACCGCACAGACCTGATGCTGAGCAGAGACCGCAGGACCCAAACCCCCTGAAAATGACGCCCCCCCGGCCCCCGCACAGGACATGTCCGTCCCTGCAGAGAGCGAGCTCCCGGCGTCAGGGTGAGGGCAGACGCTGGGTGGACGGGACCTGGCCAGGCGCCCTCCGCGGGAGCAGGAGGTGCAGGGCGGCCCTCCCCCCAAGGACGGCGGGTGAGCAGCTGAGGCCTGGCTGTGCCCAGTGTCTGCCCTCTCGCAGAGCCCCCCGGGGGCAGGTGCTCAGGGCAGGACACCCCCTCCCCCCGCCCCTGAGTCCTTCCTTTACCAAGTGGGGCGGGGCTGGCTCAGTGCCCCATGCGCACAGGTAAAAAGAAGACAAAGTTAAAATAAAGGAGACCCGGTCACGTCCAGAGCGGTGCTGAGGATAAGGCGTGCTGGACTTTAAGGCTCAGGCAAGGATTCCGAGGGCAGGTTGAAGAAGGAGCCCAGGAGGGCTTCCTGGAGGCAGTGGCTTGCCTAGATGAACAGAAAATGAAAACTTCTCCCAGGGGCTCCTGGGGAGGTTTGGTTCGGCCTGAAGCGTCAGGGAGCAGCAGGGCCGGTATGTGGCCCGTTGTAGGGGCCCCGGGGAGGCTGAGCAGAAGGGTACTGTTGTGGGCCGCCCCCTGCATGTCCCTGAGGGGTGGTGCGGTCGGGGCTGGTGGTGGGGGTGAGGGGCGGGCTCCAGAGGGGGCCCTGGGGCTCTGTCGAACTGGGACCCTGCACGTGGATTGGCTTGTCGGGTGGGGGGAGGAGGAGGTGAGCGTGGCCGGTTCAGGGGGAGCCTGGCGTGAGGAGCTGGGTGCCAGTGGACCCTCGTGGGGCCTCCCCGGACGGCCGTCTGGGAAGCATGCAGGTCCTGCTGCGACGTAACTGCCCCCGAATCGGACAAGGGTCCTGCCTCTGCAACTCCAGTGGTTTGGCTTCACGCCCCTCCTGGGAAGCCGGAAGGAACCCATCTCGGTCCCGCGGGGACCCTGGCGGGGCCCTGGGTCAGGACACACGCCCGAGTGAGGCCGTTCCCCCTCCTCACTGCAGGGCCCAGTGTGGGGGCCGGGTCTCTCCATCCTTCCCACGGGTGCCCCCCAGCGCCCGTCAGAGCCCATGACCGCTCTTGCCACCGCGTGGGGACGTGCCGGGTGAGGCTGGAGGAGCCGGGCCTTGGGGGCGGCCCTGTCTGCTGCCAGAGGTCAGCCGTGCTGCATGGCAGGGTCACGGGGTGTGTGTGTGTGTGTGTGTGTATGTGGTGTGTGTGTGGTGTGTGTGTATGTGTGTGTGTCTACTGTAGGTGTGTGTGGTGTATGTGCTGTGTGTGTGTCTGGTGTCTGTGTGTGGTGTGTGTGTGTCTGTGTGTATGTATGTGGTGTGTGTGGTGTCTGTGTATGTGTGTGTGCATGTGTGTGTGGTGTGTGTGTATGTGGGTGTGTGTGTGTATGTATGTGGTTTGTGTGTGTGGTGTGTGTGTGCGTGTGTGTCTGTGGGGTATGTGTGCTGGTGTATGTGGTGTGTGTGTATGTATGTGGTGTGTGTGTGTGTGGTGTGTATGTATGTGTTATGTGTATGTGGTGTATGTATGTGGTGTGTGTATGTATGTGGTGTGTATGTATGTGGTGTGTGTGTGTGGTGTGTGTATGTGTTATGTGTATGTGGTATATGTATGTGTGTGTATGTGGTGTGTGTATGTATGTGGTTTGTGTGTGTGTCTGTGAGGTATGTGTGCTGGTGTATGTGGTGTGTGTGTGTGCACGTATGTGTGTGGTGTGTGTGTGGTGTGTGTGTGTGGTATGTGTGCTGGTGTATGTGGTGTCTGTGTGTGTGTGTGTGCGTGTGTGTGGTGTGTGCGTGCATGCACATGGTGCAGCCCTCTGCTCTCTCGCCCTGGCCGACCTCCTCGATGAGCTGCACGGGAGCTGGGAAGCCAGGGTCGTAGGGGGAGAGCGTCCCTGGCTCCACAACCTTCCGTCACGTTAACCAGCTGCCGCGCAGGGGAGGCCGGGCAGCCAGGCAGGCCGTGGCGCAACCTGGGTCCCCGTGTCCCACGCCCCACAGGCCTGAGGGCAGGAAGCTCTGACCTCCTGGAGCCCTGGCCGCGCCCCAGGTGACTGGGGGACGTGGTGACGTGTGGTCAGTGCTGTCCCCACCACCCTGTTCCTGTGTGGACAGAGCCAGGAGCAGAGCGAGAAACGGAAAGTGGGCGTCAGCACACACCTCCTGACCTGTGACCTTTCTTTCCACTTGCTTCCAGAATTTCTCCGCGAGGCCGTAGAGAAGCACGCTGTGTCAGGACCAGCTGGCCTTCGACACTTGCAGCGGTGACCTTGCCCAGTGCCCGGGACATGCGGGTTCCCGGGGTGTGCCCCGCCCGGCGGCTCCGGGCTGTGCCGCGGGTCGCAGCCCCCAGGCTCTGAGCAGCGGCTGCTGTGACGCCCACTGTGGGCCCCCCGCCCACGAGTGCTTGCTGCTGGAGCCCCTCTGCCGCGCCCGCCCGTGAGGATGTGCGTCCCATTTGGGGGGCTGCTGGCCACCCTGGCCGTGGCGCTCGGGGTGGCGGTGGCATTTGCTCCTGTACCCAGGATCACCTGGGAGCACAGAGGTAAGGGTCCCCTGCTTCCGGGGTTGGTGCGTGCGCACCGTCGGGCAGGTGGGTGATGGCTGCGTGGGGGGAGGGGCTTGGGTCGCAGGGAGCGTGTGGGGGCTCGTTCAGGGCCTGCTGGCCGGGGTTCTGAATCAGGGGCCCCCGGAGAGCCTCTCCCCCTGGCCCCTGACGACGTCCACACCTGCCCCAAACCACGCTGAATGGGCTGTTTCCAGGACATTCCGTTTGTGTAGCCGAGCTTCCAGCCAGTTGCTTTCATTTGCCGACCGGTCATTTCTGATGCTTCCCCCCCCCCCCCCCCCCCCCCCCC